GATTATTGCGTAATGTTTTTTTTTGTATTACACTTGGACATTAAACATTATAAAACCAATATAATTTGTTAAGACGTTAAAGCTAATATTAACAGTTTATGTACCTAATGATGAAATAAATATTTTTATAGAGAATGTAGCTTTAAATAAATCACCAAGTCAGGTTGAGACTAACAGAACAAAGAGAGAAGCTGGTGATAGAACTACTAATATACCTGACAAATGTTATAACTATAATAAAACTGGTAAATGGTTGGGAATAGATCTAGAAGAAGATTATCCTATTAAACACATCATCATCCAACGTAAGATTAAAGTTTTTCACTAACAATGTCCAAAATTTACAAACTATACTAGTCTCAGTCTCTATCGCATCTTTCAAAATTCACGAAATTCTCAAATCCGTTAAGGATAATGCCAAAGCACATGATACTAAGAAATATCATAGACCTTAACCTGAATAAAACCTGGAAGTTTTGCTCCTGGCCAATTGCTTGTATCCAATATACGGGCCTCGGCAGTGGCGGAGCCAGATTTACGTCCGGGAGGGGGAGGGGCGAAATATTTGAGATTGCCCAAATTTCTAACCTAGTTATGGGGCTGCTTGCTTTCAGGGCTGCCCCCTTCGCCACTGGGCCTCAGTTGGTACACGTCTTTAATGTAGATATAAAAAAGGAACTTATTCATTATTATGTAATATTTATTTTTATTTTATCTTTCAGCTAATAGGGGTCAGTAGAGAAATATTATTATTATTAACAATGGTAATTCACTCGGAATAAAAGTTTGATCATATTTTAATTACATTGATTGAATCAATTCTAATTCACTTTGATAATTAAACATTTATAACATCCCTAAAAATAGTCAAATATCAGTGATATATAAATAACATTGTTATAAGATTTCAGTTATTGGTGTTATTTTTCAAATCTTGTTTTCAGATTTAGCATCAGTGAATGGAATTTTACTACATGTTATTAAAGAGAATGGAGAACCAGAACTATGTTATAAAGAAGGCCTGAGTTCGACGCCACCAATTGTTAAAAATATAGAGTGTAGTCATGTTATATATGGTCGTTATGTTAATATCACTAATGATCGTATCAGTCATAATGGAAGATATTTAACATTATGTGAAGTGGAGATATATGGTAAGACTTTATTCATTTGAACTTAAGAATAATATTAAATTAAAGAAGAATTAAATGAAAAACAATCGTAGGAAACGAATCGTACCCTTTCTCAACAACAGATTCTCTGGTATGTTAATCACGAAATATTATACAAACTATAGGAACGTATCGTCTATTACACCGATTACAAACAGTATTTCAATACATGTAGTCCAATGAGCTCGGGATAGACTTTTCATCGGAAGAGACAGTGCTCTATTGGAGTGATGATATTATCTTAATTTTTACATCCGGGATTTATTACTTCATTTCAGTATGTTCTGGAGGAACGTTTGGTTCAGATTGTACCAACTTCTGTCATTGTTTAAATAATAAAAGATGTTCAGAGACTGGTGAATGTCCTAATGGTTGTTCTGATGGATGGACAGGAACAACTTGTAGTCAAAGTAAAGTTTTATGTTTTACTATTTTTTACAGTAGACAGTGGCTCACCTAGATGAGTGGAGGCCCGTCCTCCGGTAATTTTTCTCGTCAAAATAAAGTTTTTGTTATACTTTTTTCTAGAGAAGACTATGTTTATCAAATTTTAACTTCATATTAGATAACACAGTAATCCTTTGACTTGACTTTGCTTCAATTTATCCATGAATTCTTTCGCTTAACATTTCTAGTGTGTGATAATGGTACATACGGTGCTGGATGTTTAAAACAATGTTCAGATAGAAATTGTTTAGTAGAAACATCACCATGTCATCATATCTATGGTAGTTGTCAAGGTGGTTGTACAGAAGGTTTTTATGGTGAAGTTTGTGATATGAAATGTTCAGATAGAAAATGTAATGATAGTAATTTACAATGTGAGAGTAAAACAGGAGAATGTATTGATGGATGTCAACCAGGATACCAGTCAATAGATTGTACACGAGGTAAAATATTGAATGGACACTGAGGGCTAACGGTCGTGATTGGATATTGTTGTCATTCTGTAATATGCTTTCTAAGAAAGCAATTTATAAGATATAAAAACTTGGAATAGCCTCGATGAACGCCTGTCTGTAATAGCGTGCACTTGACGGTATCACCATCGTGTGGTTTTAAACTTCACCTCATTCACCTCCACCGACATTAACTTTTTTGATATTTTCTTTCTCTAGAATGTTATAATGGAAAATATGGACAAGACTGTTTGTTAAATTGTTCATCAAGATTCTGTAAACTAGAAACAGAGTGTAATAATATAGATGGAGCTTGTAACTGTTCAGATGGATACCAAGGAATAGATTGTACTGTTAAACAACAGCTTGTATTCCCGGGAGACGCCAATGAAGGTTAGACGTTTTAAAGTATAACTGTCTGCAGCTGTAATTTGACCCAATTGGTTTAGTAATATTCCATGGTCATTTTCAGGGCATCAAAATAGCTTCTTTCTTTCAACCATTATTTACAAAAAAGCTTCTTTCTTTCAACCATTATTTACAAAAAAGCTTCTTTCTTTCAACCATTATTTGCAAAAAAGCTTCTTTCTTTCAACCATTATTTACAAAAAAGCTTCTTTCTTTCAACCATTATTTACAAAAAAGCTTCTTTCTTTCAACCATTATTTACAAAAAAGCTTCTTTCTTTCAACCATTATTTACAAAAAAGCGTCATGATAAGACTACTTCTACTTTTTACTAGTCTATTGTTTATTGAGATTAACGATAACTACCAAGTTATGTTTAGATTTATACTTACATATATATAAGCTTTAACTATACTTTAATTTTGTTGCGAATTCAGTTCAGTTTAAGATATTAAAACACAATTTCAGGCTCAACCTTTCAGGTTTACTCATAAAATTTCAAGGTTCAATATTACACATATATATATTATAAAACATCAACATCAACAAATATTTCTGTAATCGATAGCGAGAGTGTTGCTTAGCGACAGTGATGATGTTAGGTTCTCGAGCAAGTTTCGTGTCATTTCGAACCAAATGTCGTGTTAATTTGTAGGGAGTGAAGATCAGAATTCGGCTATAATTGCAAAGATTGTGGTACCAGTTATTACATTAGCTTTTGTGTTTGGAGTACTCGTGGTACTGTTCGGAACGAAACTAAGGTTAGATTTATATTATAACTGCTGAAGAGGTACTTCTGAGACACTTGTTTCTATGTGTTAACTCAGTTTCCCTCATTTAGAGTGTCCAGAAACAAAAGTTAATCGGAGTATGTGTTGCTTTACAATAAAACGGAAAGACATGCGATTCATTTGTATTATTTTTGTTTAAAAATATTCTTCATACGAATTGTAGGTCAAGATGTAAAACAAACCAGTTCCGTGGTAAGGAATCAAGTCACGCTGTAGCACAAAATGAAACAAACATAAAGCTAGTAATTAATCAGCCGTCCACTAACAACCAAGATAATCATTCTGATCAACTTCTTATTTAGCTTAACGTATCGTTTTAAGGGTTGTTTAAAGTTGTTAATATAACCCTTCTGTGACTATCTAATCAACAGCACTGAATAATCCAATTTGAAGCAGATGTAATATTTTGTTTAAGTAACGTCTCTATGATAGCTAGATATATAATTTTATACAGATATTATATTTTGTTTAAGTAACGTCTCTATGATAGCTAGATATATAATTTTATACAGATATTATATTTTGTTTAAGTAACGTCTCTATGATAGCTAGATATATAATTTTATACAGATATTATATTTTGTTTAAGTAACGTCTCTATGATAGCTAGATATATAATTTTATACAGATATTATATTTTGTTTAAGTAACGTCTCTATGATAGCTAGATATATAATTTTATACAGATATTATATTTTGTTTAAGTAACGTCTCTATGATAGCTAGATATATAATTTTATACAGATATTATATTTTGTTTAAGTAACGTCTCTATGATAGCTAGATATATAATTTTATACAGATATTATATTTAGTCTTGTAGTTGAGGGTTTTTATGGCAGGAGTGTGGGAATTTGCTCTTTAATAATGTAATGTAATGGACTGACTATCGATTTATCAATACGCTACATGACTATGTCAGACATTTGCTCCGATATTTCACTGGAAATGCCTGATAACACATCAATCATCGATTTGCCTACTCTCATTTGAAGAGATATGGGCACATTCTTTCCAGCTTATAAATATTCATATAAGTTATGTTTTTGATTTTCTGTCAGCTTCAATTCTTTACCAAAAATCTTACTCAATTCTGTATCGTACATATTCAAACAATATTTAGCTATGAATACGTTATTTCCTTTAGATGTATTACGCTTTAGATAGAAAGACGGTAAACATTTTATCGATTTAGAGGTCATTATCCTTATACAAAACCGCTTCAGAACAGAACATGTCAACTAAAGCATCAAAAAGCGTCACATGTGTCTTAAATTCGTGTTCGCTGAGCACTGCAGGTGGTGATTTGAATAAACCTTTAGTAATAAAACAGTTATATAATGATAAACATATTTTAATTAAACACAGACTTTTTCGGCTATGGTATCCCCATCAGCCTCATTTACATGGAAATTACTTGGTAAGTTGGCCACGGTAACGTTAAAAATATAACATCGATTAACGTCTCCATGGAAACTCAACGTTATGCATTCGTTCATCTGGTTGCAACTTTCTTCACATTGGGTCAGATCTGTATTTTGAAATAATGAAATGAGTGGTGCTCCATATAGGTAACAATTATTTTGTGCTTGTAATGCACACTGGGTATTATCATTACATTCTTGATCACAGTCATTCTGGTTCGGGACTTCTGATATACGTTCCAGTAATCATGATCTATATATTTATTATTTGAATATGTGTAATCACATTCTGAAAAAATAAATAAATAAATAAATAAATGAATGAATAAATAAATAAATTAATAAATTAATAAATAAATAAATAAATAAATAAATTAATAAATTAATAAATAAATAAATAAATAAATAAATATATAAATATATAAATAAATAAATAAATAAATAAATGAAAAATAACGTGGTCCTGTCTAACCTTCAGCCCATGGGCATAATACAATAAATACATGAAAAACAAGGACATAATTTAAAAAGAAAACGTTACACACTATCTTGATTTACAAATAGCTTAAAAATACACAGGTATGTGTGTATTAGATGGACAGTTTATGTTGCTGCGTTCAAGTACATGATCACAAAATTATGTACAGGCTATCACAATTTACATAATATTTTACACACATACTATATAATAAATGCAGTGTTTATGTTGTTTCACTGTGGATCATTAAATGAATGGTTGTTGCTAGGATATTCAGTCAAAATGCATAGTGATAGTTTGCTTTTGATTCTTTTATTCTCAAGTTATAGGTTAGCAATAGACAAAAGGAGATTGTTTTGATTTTTTTCTAAATCTTATTTATAATAACATGCAAAAATATAATAAAAATCATAAATTTTTACAATTGTTCTCATTTACTTTGCTCCATTTCTATTTTCCTGTCATTATAGTCACGCTTAACCGTTTACGAAGTCGCCATCGCACAAGATGTTAATACATTATAAGCAGCTTTTGCGATAGTGATGCCATACAACGAATTGTTTTACTGGAATTACAAGACCCATAGACGTCTGACTGACAATTGGAATGGTGCAAATCGACGCAAATCGGTGCTCGAAACACAATAAAAAACAATATAATATATATAAATCCTTCATTACATCAATTCGACACATCAACACACCTCTATTAGGAAACATGTGCTAACAGACTCGATCAATTTTTGTCAATGTGAATAATGCAAACGCCATTGCGATTATTTTAGTCAGCGAAATAGTACTTGATAGGTTTACAACCACTTTAGGAGCAGTTAACGATCAGTTTTATCCATAAATAACAACGTCAAAGCAATTGTATACATGTACTCTCTCTTCATGCGACCGAGAGAATTTCTTAAAAAAATATTACTATAAGAAAGAATATTTACCGGCATCAATAAGAATCAAGGCTGATACGGAGAACAACAGAACAAAACATAAGTATTTATTCATGGTTTATTATATCAATAGAGACTTGTTGAAAGACTGTCGAATGCTAGATTTGACTCAGAAATTTAAAGTAAATGCAAAGTCTCCTACAGGACAGATGTTGCCTTAGTGACTGTCAATTAATATCTATACTAGGGGATTATTGAATTGTAGCAAACCTACAATTTTAATTAAAGCAACTTTTTAACTTAGGTTAAGGGCCCTGTCACGCGTAAACCATGCTTACAGAAAATTTGTCTAATACATAGCCGCACGTCGAATACGTTTTTGGTATAAGCTTTAAAAAAAACAATGACGCACGTCGAAGTAAGAGGAAAACGTACAAAAATTGGACGTATACTATCATACACGGGTCAAAAAATACTGAGAGGCCACCGCTAGGCCAAACTGTAGTTAACTTGAGCCGCAAAAATCTCACACCCCTTCAGCATTCAATCTTAGACCGTGGACTTCAGTTTATTCCCACACCAAAGATAGCTAACTTGAATTATCTCCGACCATCCATTGAACGATTTCAACGAAATCTTAGCTGCACATATTTTTTTCGAAACCACCCCCCACGTGGTGCTAGAACAATGTTTATTCCTAAATCCACGTGGACACCCCCTCAGTCCGCCATCCATCCTGAAATATTGAAAGCATTTGCTAGTATGAATAGCCAAACAGTGAACCTTTCCATAACACACGAAAAGCCTAATCTCACACGAGTGGAACGTGAAGCGTTAAACTTACTTAAGAAAGACGATAGCATTGTTATTAAAAAGAGTGACAAAGGTTCATGTTGTGTCATTCTGAATAGGGAGGATTACGTTTCAGAAGCAGAGAATCAACTGAATAATCCTAAACATTATGCCATTTTACCGAAACCAATTTTCAAAGAAACTGCTAACATGATTAATAATATTCTTGCCGATTTAGTCAAAACTAGTTATCTCAAACAGAAACAATATGACTATCTGTCTGCCAAACCTGATTGTCGCGAGAGACTTTTGTACACTTTGCCTAAAATCCATAAGAATCCAACCAAGGAGTGGTTTATCTCGAATAAAATCCCTAAAGGCCGCCCGATTATATCTGACTGTGGTAGTGAGTCATATGCAGTGTCAGAATACATTGATCATTTCTTACTACCTCTAGCATGCCAACATCGCGCCTACCTTAAAGACACAACCGATTTTGTCAATAAAATAAAAAATCTTCGAGTTCCCTCTAATGCTATTTTAATTTCTATCGACGTTTCTTCTATGTATACCAATATCGATAACACTACTGGTTTAACGGCAGTTCGTAAAGCTTTTAATAGAAATCCAGATCCAAACAGACCCGACGATGCAATTCTACAGCTTTTAGAGATTTGTCTTAGTCGAAACGATTTCACATTTAATGTTAAAACATATTTATAAACTTCAGGGACAGCAATGGGCAAACGATTCGCCCCTTCGTACGCAAACCGTTTCATGGCAGAGTGGGAACGTGAGGTGTTGCCCCTCTGTCCATTTGACCCACTTTTTTACGGACGCTTTTTGGATGACATTTTTATGGTTTGGACTTATTCTATCGAACAGTTTTGGGAATTCTTTGAAATTCTCAACAACCACCATCCTTCTATCAAACTAACCGCAAACGTGAGTGACAAAAGCATAGACTTTCTCGATACCACAGTCTTTAAGGGAGATTCCATAGCAGAAACAAATAAACTGGATATTAAAGTGTATTTCAAAGAAACTGATACTCATCAACTCTTGCACAAGAGCTCCTTCCACCCAAAACATACCTTTTCTGGTATAATTAAGTCAAAAGTTTTACGATTTCATCGAATTTGTACAAGATCTTCTGATTTCAACCAAGCCTGTACGATTGTTTTCTCAAAACTGAAAGAGCGTGGGTACTCTAAACGATTTTTACGAAACATAAAAAATTCCACCTTAGCACAGATAGCAGCTAAAAACAGACTTTATGCCGAAGTACCTCCAGGTTTAAGAAGTGCTCCATGTTTGTCCAGTAGATGCAAAACATGTCCCTTTATATCAGAAACTCATTATTTTGTAAGCAACTCTACGAATAAAAGGTACCCGATCCAGGAACATCTAACATGTGAACATTCGAATGTAATATATTTAATTTCATGCAAGAAATGCCCCAAACAATATGTAGGAGAAACTAATTGGATTGAGACATTGAATACAGCAAGACCTATAGGACTAAATATTCATCATAATGTAGGCATAGCACCCTTTGTTGTCTCGTTTAATACAACCAGCAATCGAGCAAGCAAGATAGTTCATGCCCACTATAAGAGCCTTCAAGAGAAATTCCCCCATGTCTATAAGCAGAAAATGATAGTTGCATATTCAAAAAATAAGAACTTAAATGATAATATTGTTCATAGTAAACTAAAAACAATCAGTACATAACAGATACTATACTTCTCGCCCATCGGGCGAGTTATTTTTTCTAATTTCAGATCAGAATAAGAACAGAAGAAAACCCAATATCAAGACCCTTAATCCTAATTTCTAAATAAAGTGTCTGCTCCACCCTAGGCCTGTACATTTGGGAGAATCAAACCCTCCCTTCCCCGAAATCAAACTTATTTATACTATATTGAAAGTATCAACAATATAGGTTGACATTTGTTGACTTACTTGACGTCCAAATACAGAAAATACGTCAATATGCGTTTGAAATAAGTGCAAAATTTTCGGCGTATATTATCATAAACGGGTCAAACTCAAAACTTATTTATACTATGTAAAACGTATCGCCAATGTAGGTTGACTTAGACGTTCCTTCCATTTAAATTGGAGAAATGTATTTTCATCAGTTACGTCCCTTGAACTATTGAAATTGAAGATAAATGTTTTTTTCATCAGTTACGTCCCTTGAACTTTTAAATTCGTCGTTAAGTCGCTTTTCTTCTGATGGCGCGTTCCTATTTGTAGTGTGTGTTGTGTATGTTGAGCAGCTATGACAGGTGTGGTACCAGGCAGGATATGTTTACTCTTCTAGACACATGATACCACTTTTCATTATGAAATGCTTACTCACTTACCATTGATATACTTCCTCATGTGAAAAGTTCATTAACTGCTACCAATATTTCGTCAATATGTTGTTACGGATATCAAGCTTCGTTTGGCCATTGACTATGACCATTCAAAATCTCGTTCAAAGAATGGAAAAATCGGGTGTAAAGGTAGTGTAGTAGTGGACTCCTCCAAAGAGAAGTACCATAAGGTGTTTTGCAAGGAGTAAGCATCGTCTGGTTCGCACGCGACACCCGCCACTACTACAATGGTCAATATCACGAGTACAATTACATAAGTTGATACCTGACCAAACAAATCTGCCAAAATGCCAGAAACAGATTTCTTGTTATAATAATCCAGGTTACACCACTCACAATCTAATTGTGGTGGTTTCTGGGTAACTGTATAAGAAGGCTACAAGAACTGATTGCAGAAGCCTCGGCGTTCTTACTGTAGTTGGTGAATCAGTTTTTTTAATTTAT